AAAAAAAAAAAAAAAAAAAAAAAAAAAAAAGAAAAAAATAAAACTGAAAAGGACCAGGAGTGTTTACTCCTGAAAAAAGTAGGCAAAAGTTACTGAAAACAAACAAACAAACAAACAGTACTATAGGATTGCTTTTTTTCCAGTGCTATTTATTTGCTCAGTAGCTTGTTGCTTCCCAGAGCTATACAGAAAGTTCATTATTATTCTTTTGCTGCTGATTCTTGTGCCATGGATGACTTAGTGCAAACAGGCCATCACTGCCTCTCCTGGCCCAATTTACTGTTTGGCTTGGCAACTCTGTTCAAACTGAGAACTTTCATGGCGGAAACAGTTACAGGAAAAGTTCTAAGGTAAATCTGGGTAATCTAAGATGAGAGCACTAGATAACACAGGATTCCTGATGGGTGACCTTAAGTTTCTTGAGAAAGTTCATTCCTCACATCCTCTTAAACTCCCACCAAGGAACTTGGTGAAAGGAAGAAGTGAAAGCCATTAGCAGTTTTTTCCAGAAGACTATGAAGAATCTTTCCATTAGTCACAATACATGACTAACAGCCTTGAGGAATCTAGATGCTTTGAAAACACTTTCTAGTAATTCCAGGGCTAGAAAGTCTCTTAACTTCAGGATGAGATATAATTTTTGTATTACCGTTTATAGCTTTGTCAGAGAGGTCATAAGACAACGACTATCTGGTAGAAAAGACGGCTATGTACAATAGTAGAGAGAACAAAACTATCTCACTCTTATGCTACCAAAATCTCTCTGAAAATTACCTACATTAATACAAAGTAGACAGTAAGATATGTCAATTTAAAAAGAAAAGAAAAACAAATTAAGTTGGGATGTGTGGTGATAGTGGTAATAAAAAAGATGTAACATATCAAGATCCAATAAAAAGACTTTCCCATTTCTCCGATGAAGCAAGAGAAACATATTAAATATCTGAATCAAGTGAGCTAGAAGAACCAGAAATAGAACCCAGGATTATCTAACTTCTTTTTATAACAGCCAGTCTACTAAGTGACTTATCAACAGCAACTACATGAAGCAACACTAAATTGAAAAAAAACAAGGAAGGCCAATTAGCAACAGATATTTCACTGAAGAGTCTCTGACACACATCTGTTGCCTTTTGTTCCTATAAAGTACTGGTCATACTGTACAAATTGTTTTCATATTCCTGAGAAGTCATATGTTCCAACTCTCTGACTCTATGCAGAACTACATATAATCAAGTACCAAGAACAAACATGGGGCTCTGAACCCACAAAAACAGTGAACAAAGGCCACTGTTAATTTCAACAAACTTCTGAACGAGGACAAACAAATGGAGGACTGCGCAGACTGATGAAGCAGGGCAATATAAATTACGGCCCATAATACCTACCGGAAGGCTGCAGCCAAGTTAGAAACCAATCTGCCCTCTAAGACCAGAGAGGCTCTTCAAGAGGTCTTCCCCTTCCCTAACGCAGAAACCTGATAGTCAACAGCCTTGCCTATGTATATGGAAGTCCTAATCAACTTTTCTGTTACCTCATTCTTAAAAAGAAATGAGCGGCCAGGTGTGGTGGCTCACGCCTGTAATCCAAGCACTTTGGAGGCCAAGGCGGGTGGATCACCTGAGGTCGGAAGTTCAAGACCA